AAGACTTCGCAATCGAATCGCAAACCACTATTTGAGCGCTACAAGTGCCGCCCTCGTTTTCATTACGATATGCAACCTTTCCCGTCAAGTGTGGCCACCGCAAAGAGTTTCGTTGATTCGGTACCAAACCGCAACATAGAGATTCACGCGGCCATTTGGGCGCATGTTGAAGAACCCCAGGCGGTCAAAATTTCTGGAGCCCTTCAATTACGGCGTCTCTGACAATCATATGGTAGTTTTGGGATGTTAAACCCCACTTATCAATCAGATTCACGCGACCGCTACCGATCGAAGCGCAACCGACGCCGATTAGGTTACCATATGTTGCCGCGGAAAGCTTGTCCAAAACATGAGGATTCGGCGTCAAAAAGATCGCACTAGTAGTGAAACAAGAACCGAGTGCCTGATACGAATTTCGCGTTCGCAGCTGGGAGATCAGCAACGACAACTCGCCAAGCATGCGTGCGACAGCGCACTGGCAGCAAAAGTGAAAGCTGGCGTCACGAAACCGTAAAACGTTTTCAATTTACGGTCGAGGAGGCAATCGGGATATTTGTTGAAAGCGCGATGACGACGTCTCCGCCGACAGGAAACTGTTAAGCGCATGTAGTTGACAAGGGTGGGATGGCAAGTGCCACGTTGAGCGGCGCGCAGCCGAGGCTACGTTAGCAACTTAGCACGCTGTAGCCGCGTCGGCGCCGGTGCAAAGGCTTATCGGTCCCCGAGGTACCGTACCCGAGGCGAGGTAACCGTCCTCGGGTATGGTTGCCTGCGCAGTACAATGGCTGTACTGCGCAGTGTCACAGGGTCTTTTTTTTTTCTTCACTTTATTTTTCTTTTCTCCGCCCTTCATTCACTCCGTGTCCCCTCCTTCTCCGTAACGACCTCGTCGTTCGCTCCCCAGCGCGCCTCCTTTAAGAAGCGCACTCGCTACCGCGTTTGTCACAATTTCCGGCAAGTGCATTATAACCGATCTTTCTTCTTGGGGGACTGCACAATAAGCGGTGTGCCTATTAACACCGAGAACGAACACTGGCAGCGTGGCAGTCGCGGTGAAGTGACGTCACGGTAAGGACTACTTTGCTCCGTGGCCAAGTATCGCCTTTTTCTGCGCCCGCTCTTACGGGATACGGTAATGATAATTGCTCATTGTTGCGATGCAAACCTACCAAGGTAGAAAGCAGCTGTTCACAATGCTAGTGAAAGTTAAGTAGATTCAGAAAGTGGCGATAATCTGATGGGCAAACTTTCTTTCCAAGAAAGATTCTTTGTGAAAATGATGGTGCAGTGACTGCAAGACATTCGTAGCTTTCACCGCTTACGCCGAGAAATCGGTCCTTAAATGACTTACGCTTAAAGTCCAAACTTTCTTTACAACTTGGCGGGCACTCCGGAGTTGGAACATGTGTTCCGAAGAATTACAAATAAAATTACGGCGTTATCAATTCCCTAAATACACAACAGTTTTTATACAAACTGTTTGGGCTGTTTGACAAAATAGAGCTTTCTGCTTAAAGAGACAGATGAATTTATGAAAAAAATCATTCAATATATCCAAGATATTGAACAAAATAATACAGTCCCATATAAAATGCCTAGGGATATGCTAACACGTCATCTGTACTTGGTTTACGTAAATATTTCTTCTAAACAGCTAGCCACCTGCAATTATGTGGCCACATATTCCGATATGCAGGATGTACTTGTCCGATCAAATGTCGCACTACAAGCGGTAATGATTAATTCGCGTGGGAGAACTATTGATAGCAATTGTTTGCAAAGCAACGCCTGAAAGTCGCAATGAACATTGTGAATGGTTTCGATGGCGTTCTCACCGACGTAGCCCGCGTGACAATTAAGCGTTATTCGCCGCAATGAGTCAGTGTCTGATCTCCCACTTCATATCCACGTGCAGGTTGATGAAACTTACAGATAATCAACTGCAAAAAAAAAAATTATTTCACGAGTGGGCTATTTAAACTACTATACTTGTGTAACAGCAGCAGTGCCGTTGCTATATATGATGCTGCATGAAGTTGGCGCAATTAACCCCAACTGGTTTTTATTGATATAAAGCCCCAAAAATACTTATAGGAAAGTATGGAATGAAAATACACGAGGAGTAAGAGAGTATAAAGATAACAAAAAAAAATACAACAGTTGTGGTGGTGCTCTCGGCCAAGCGCTTTGAAGATAGGTTGCGAGTCTTGATACTGCATCGTCTTTGCAACTGGGCGTAGAGTTTGGCACACAAGAAAAAAAAAAAATCTGCCATGACCAGATAGGCACATGTGCCCGATACAAATCTTGGCGAAGCGAGCACATATCTCTAAAGGAAACCGTTCGTGAAGAAAGCAAATATATATTATTGCAAATATGCTGCTCTTACATGTAAAAACCACAACTTGAATACTGGACATGCTGTAGTATAATTTTGACTCTCTGGCATGTTCTTGCTCTTCACTGCCATCAGAGTGTGGCTGCCGTGGCCGAGAATCGAACCCATCCCCAAGTTGCAGCGCGACATCAACAGACCTGATCAAAGTGAGCACGATATAGCACCGTAACCGTTGGCGTTTGTACTGAAAACAAGTTTTCCATCGTTATTGATACTGCTTTCGTCGTTCATCTGAAGCATAAGTCAAGCAAAAAGTAATTGCAAACAGCAAAAACAGCGTACGATGCGAGCGCAAGTTATGTAGGTGCACAACGGCGGGCGTCGAAGAGTCCTTGCCGGGACATCACCGAGGCCTCCCACCAGGTGCCGCCACTCCAACTTCTTGGGGCTAATACATCGGGTTTTATGGGAGGTTAAACGGGAGTAGCAAAAAACTGGATTGTAAGCGGTTACGTTATAAGTGATCTACACTATATTCCCCTTTCCTATTTCTTGTAATTAAAGTGTCAGTCCCTTTCAAAGTACAAATTCTGCTAGTGACTGAACAACACTATTAATGACTATAATGACCACACAAACAGAGGACCCACAAGGGATAAAAAAATGTAGGACCTTTTTTTTACTTCATGCCACCTGTGGCAATAACATTTTATTAGAAGCATGCAGGCTTCTTTGTTGACAAGGTTCTCCCATTCGCTAGGCACTAAGAAGCTTAAATGCCCACATGTACACAATTTATAGTACAACAATACCATATATTGACATCTTATATAAGTAACCTGAGCCTCAGTTGGAAAGAATGTCAGGGCACATGCTAATTTTTTTAGCAGTTCACTGAAATGCCCATCAAAAAAGCCATTTTCTAACGTTAAAATATCTCGTTTGAATAAGAGCTCAAATCTACATGTATTTACAAAGAACCAATGTAACTAATGCAAAAGTCGGATGTATGCACTAAGGGACAAAGAAGGCAAAATAACTACCAATATGGATAGGATAGTTAAAATAGCAGAGGAGTTTTACAGAGATCTGTACAGTAGCCGTGACAACCACGGCCTTAATACTATAAGAACTAGCAGTAACCCAGATTACACCCCACCAGTAATGATAGAAGAAGTCAGGAAAGCTTTGGAGAGCATGCAAAGGGGTAAAGCTGCTGGTGAGGATCAGGTAACATCAGATCTGCTGAAAGATGGAGGACAGATTGTGTTAGAAAACTAGCCACCCTGTTTACGAGGTGTCTCCTGACGGGAAGAGTACCAGAGTCTTGGAAGAACGCTAACATCATCTTAATACATAAGAAAGGAGATGACAAGGACTTGAAGAATTACAGGCTGATCAGCTTGCTCTCTGTAGTATACAAGCTATTTACAAAGGTAATTGCTAACAGAGTAAAGAAAACATTAGAATCCAATCAACCAAAGGAACAAGCAGGATTTCGAACAGGCTACTCAACAATTGACCACATTCATACTATCAATCAGGTAATAGAGAAATGCTCAGAGTATAACCAACCCCTATACATAGCCTTCATAGATTACGAGAAAGCGTTTGATTCAGTAGAAATATCAGCCGTCATGCAAACACTGCGGAATCAGGGCGTAGATGAAGTATATATAAACATTCTGGAAGAAATCTACAGGGGATCAACTGCTACATAGTGCTTCATAAAGAAAGCAACAGAATACCAATCAAGAAGGTGTAAGGCAGGGGACACAATTTCCCAATGCTATTTACCGCGTGCTTACAGGAGGTTTTCAGAAGCCTAGAATGGGAACAGTTAGGGATAAGAGTCAATGGAGCATACCTTAGTAACCTGCGCTTCGCCGATGACATTGCATTGCTGAGTAACTCGGGGGACGAATTGCAACTCATGATTACGGAATTAGACAAGGAGAGCAGAAAGGTGGGTCTTAAAATTAATCTGCAGAAAACGAAAGTAATGTACAACAACCTCGGCAAGGAGCAGCGCTTCGAGATAGGTAATAGTGCACTTGAAGTTGTAAAAGACTATGTCTACTTAGGGCAGGTAATAACCGCAGAGCCGAACCACGAGACTGAAGTAACTAGAAGAATAAGAATGGGGTGGAGCACATTTGGCAAGCACTCTCAAATTATGACAGGTAGTTTGCCACTATCCCTCAAGAGGAAGGTATATAACAGCTGTATCTTGCCGGTACTTAGCTACGGAGCAGAAACCTGGAGACTTACAAAGAGGGTTCAGCTTAAATTGAGGACGACGCAGCGAGCAATGGAAAGAAAAATGGTAGGTGTAACCTTAAGAGACAAGAAGAGAGCAGAGTGGATTAGGGAACAAACGGGGGTTAAGGATATCATAGCTGAAATCAAGAAGAAGAAATGGACATGGGCAGGGCATGTAGCGCGTAGACAGGACTAACCGCTGGTCATTAAGGGTAACTGACTGGATTCCCAGAGAAGGGAAGCGGGTTAGGGGGAGACAGAAGGTTAGGTGGGCAGATGAGATTAAGAAGTTTGCGGGTATAAATTGGCAGCAGCAAGCACAGGACCGGGTTAACTGGCGGAACATGGGAGAGGCCTTTGTCCTGCAGTGGACGTAGTCAGGCTGATGATGATGAATGTAACTAATGATGCCACATGCATTACTGCAATGAAGAGTCAACGTAGCTTGGGCGACAGCTGACTTGCATTCTTGTAATTGAGGCACTTTACGTCGCAAATGAAGCAAGAAATCTCAAACATAATCGTAACAGGCTGCGAAGTTACAACAATTATTTCTTGATGTTATCGGGAGGCAAGAACTTTTTCTATTGAACTTACACAAGGAATCACAATGCTGTGGCTGCGTGGACAAAGCTTGCGGGTTAACATTTCCCAAGAAAACAACGAAAAAAAAGGCGGTGTTTTGGAGACGGGTTAACAAAGCACCTTCGAACACAGCCTCAATAAACGATGTGTACAACAGTTTGTTAGCTCGGAGATGAAACGATCTCAGGAGACTTCTAGAGATGCAGCAAGCAGCAGATGACGTGCCGTGAAAAATGGCGCAGTGCTGGATCGAGTAACACACATCATCGCATTGTCCCCAGGAGGTAGAATTGCTCGCACAATCACAGCTACATCGCAGTGCAGTCACTGACACTCGCAGATATGTATGTACACACAGAGACAGCCAGAAAAACACAAGTGTCTACTTGGGCGCAGCCATGCTGTCTCGTTTTCACCAGTCGGATGGCCCAAAACGCTGCACCACCTTTTCTTGATCGGTGAGGTCTTTTTGTACTTTCTTGCGCATGTAGAAGATGGGGCAGTCACGGCTGCAAGCAAAGTATAGGGCTGTCATTTACAATAGAAATTCATAGCTACTTCACTGATACTTGAACTAAAAAAGAAACAGAAAGCGTAATTTTCAAACTGCCTAAAAAAACAGTACAAACTATCTGTTTATTGAATAGCATTTAGCCCAAAATGTGCCAACATAATGTGAACACAATGGAATCTCTGTAAAAGATTAAATGCAACAGATAACAGCATCTGATAAGCTTAGTTTTCCATTTGAGGAATGAAAAAAAAAATTTTGTTAATGAACACAAATACGTTACCATTCTTCATTAAACGAAATCGGTGATCATGATGTAGTCACTCAGTATACTTTTACTAAAATAAACTACTATTGGGATATGAAATTTTCTCGCAACACTAATAAACAGAGAAAGTCATATTCAAAAATGACTCAATGAAGCCATTATCATCGCACCACCTACCCACCTTGTACAAAGCACCTCCTCATGAAGGCTCCCCGAGCAGCGCTGACACTGTGTCCACAGCTGTGAGAACTTTGACTCCAAGCTGCTTAGATGATTCACCTGCACAGACACGAGTCGTCAACTTGGGCCCAACAACAGACAACCGCTCTGGAACAAGCACTACACTGTGCATGAGCTTAGCATGTTCATCCGTCACTTTTCTCTTCCACTACGCTTGAAGGGCCCCACACTAAATCTGACCACTTTGAGTTGACGAGTTACATTGTGCATTCATGATTGTGTCTGTCAACAGATACATCGCTACGCACCACAAAAGACGTTCAAAATTCGTCCTTGTGGCGGTACTGTGACATTTTTTTTTTCTTTAGTAGCACAAACATACACAACTGAGAAAAGCGGAACACAACAGCTGCAACCCAAAATTGAAATTTATTCCCAAAAGGTACAATTAATTAGACAAGAAAGAATATGGAGAGGAAATATAAAGGAATAAGAAAGAACACAGAATGGGAAAAAGTTTTACTAACTTGAGGCACCACTGAACGATCAAATTTCACAATATAAATGTGACATACGTCACGCACTCACACTGTTCTTATTTCTTATAGCGAAAGCTTCAGCTATCTTCCAAGTTGTCTGCAATTATTAGGAACAGAACTAATCTGGACAACAGCCAGGCAAAGGTATTTTGGCCTTCACCTTCACGCACAAGACGAATAAGCATAAAATAAAAAGTTTCACCACTCACTTCTACTAGATAAATCTCAGCCTCCTTCGTCTTGCAGTGTTTGCATACAGCAGAATCTGAAAATAAAACAGGAATCAAAGGCAAGGCTAATATTAAAGGCCACTGCGGAAACATGACATAAAAAGAAAGAAGTTTGAAAGGTTAGGAATGCCTACAAAAGCAATGAACATCATTTAAATATCTCAAAATCTCAACTACGGAATAAACAATGGTAGATTCATGATCAAAGCTGGTAAATGCATATTAATGATACCACTAGCACAGCTAACCAAACTTTTGGCTGTTTGAGCCACAACTTCAATTTCGCTGCTCTTACGCAAAAGAATTTTTGACATTAGTATGCACTTGCAGAAATGGAATACCCAAGCACAGCTAGGATCCCCATCAACCTAACATTTCTTTAGCAGTTCAATTTAAGCACGACCACAGAGCAAGGTATATTTGTTTCAATTTCTCCTTTTACTCACACGTCCAATTATGTTGGTAATGAAGCACCTTCAACTTTGTTCTAAAACGTTCAAGAATTACAACAATTTCCAGCCCCTCACATAATATCTCTTCACCTGGATATTTGAGCTACAGTCAATAAATAAATAAGTGGGAACAGGACATCGTCTACAGTCATGTTTCATTAACATGAAACCCATTAATACAGACACCCTGCAATATAGATGAAAATTTTGGTGACCGGTCTCTTGCCATGCAATTCTGTCCCATTAAAACAGAAACGCGGCGTCCACACTATGGGCGTCTATTTCAGGAATTGTGAACACAGGTCCACAACAACTGAACAATTCAAAAGCAGAGAAAGAAGCTCCATGGCTGCATACACAGGAACTTTCCCGGACGGTGTCGAACTATCTCATCAGAATGCCTGCACAATGCTTGTGCGTGTATCAAGCACATTCTAGAACTGGTGCAATGACAAGTTATAACATTGGAAAAAGGAAACACTTTCAGTCACCGACATTCTGCGCTTTCTAGGCATTTTGGTAGTATCATCAAAGGCATCTGTGCCAGGGCTAGTTTTTTCGGCTGAATGAACCATGCTATTTTTTGGAATGATTAGCACACCTGATGACTGTGTTAGTGACCTTGAGTCAAGAGAAAGAACGACTCGCATTATGGATGATTTTTCTAGTGAACAGAGATGTCCTTATTAATGAGATGTGACTGTACCATACAAGCGTGCTCTCTATCGACAAACATTTATATTTATCCCCAATAAAAAAAACACTTGCTAAAAAGATACAAGTTAAAAATGAAGCCTTATTTCTAGACAAAAAAAAAAAAATGGATGAATCGCCAGCAACTGTATTTTAGACATCTGGAATTCTTAGATTTAATACATGACTGATTGATGCAAATAAAATCAAATTAGTGCACTTAAGCAGCTGCCAATAGCAAGTGAGCTGTAAGTGTACTGCATGTTAGAATTATTCTGAAAGATCACAGCTCTCACACAGCATTTGTAAGTTACGTACGCCAACCTACTTTAAAGCTATCCATAAATAGTTCTTCTAGTAAAAAAAAAAGATGAAAGGAAGCATATAGCCAATAGTTCAACCCGTATAAAAAATTCCAAAGTTTCAGCAAAATTCCTCGCTGGGCAAATTGGTAGACATAACAAAATAGAGGAAAATTGAAAATAAGAGGGGCGACAGGACAGCACTACAAACTAACACCTTTATCTCAACACATTAAGACTGTTAACTGAACTGATCAGTACATTGCCAGATGTTTCTGAACTGACAAGAATTTTGTATCACAAGCATCAAATAGAGAAACTGTGAACGTTTGTTAATAATACAATTTTAGCATTTAGCCCTGCTCATAAGGTGTCTGAGGCATTTGCAATTCCATGCTAGAAGTAGTGCCCATGCGTAAGCACACCTTCTAAATCTCTGATCAGCAGAGAGGCAGCACCACACTAGTCCTTGAACAACAGGTTTCTCTGTTGCCTGGATATTTTTGATGCGTTTTAAAGGGACACTAAAGTCAAATAACAATTAACGTCAAAGTGAAAGCTCAATGTATGGCAAAAAATCTAAAACGACAATATTATCAATGCAGTGCCCTACTTACCACGGAATTAAGATAAAGTACAAGATAACATGCGCCGCAGTAGGACATTCTCAAAATAATCCCAATGATGTCAGACGAACCACCCAAAATTATTCACTAGTAATCGATTTAGCTACACTAAATAAAGAAACGTCCGTGCATAAACAGATGCAACAAAATGCTGCTTGTTCGTTTCTGTTTGATTCAGCGAAAAAAGGACCGCCAGACGTTACTATGGGGAATGGCGCAAATGGTTCGAAAATTCGATTCTCGCATAGTTAAACTGGCCAGGTCGTGCCGTCTAGCAGGGCGGAGTTGCACGAAAGCACCTCTGCCTTCTCGGAGCCAATGGCAGGAATTCGATCAATGGCCCTTGTTGCTGCTGTGGCTCCCGCTCCTTTCGTTCTGCTGCTACTAGTGTCATAGGTCGCGCAGTAAAGCCGGGCAGCGTTCTGCATGGCAATAGTGACATCACATGTTCTGCTTCTTGAGGCGGATAATTTGAAGTGCGCTAACCCAATGCGACTACTAAAACATCATTTTATTTCAAGATAAGCCCTTCTTTGGCACAAAAGTAACACTACGAGGTTTCTGGACCGCTATTTCAACAATGAATGCTGACTTAATTGTTGCCTTTAGCGTCCCTTTAAAGGGGAACTCCGTCATTTTTTGATACAGTCCAGCCCGCTTATAGCTAACCTCAGCGTGACGCGGCATCCATTCGCTGTATCCCAAAGTTCGTAGTAAATGAAACACAGCTTTTAAAAAAGTTGCGAGTGAAAACACAAACTTTCTTTGCCCCAAAAAGTCCGTGATGCACGTGTTTCGAAGAGCAGAAACAATAAGTGCAGTCACAAGTTCATTTAAAACGGCAGGCTGCTTGTTCGCCGAAGCCCATGGCATAAGCTGCATGAGGCGCTGGCTCTAAAAATCTTCGTCAGTTCTCAGCAATCCTTTCCTCCAAATCGCTCTCAGCCACGTACGTCATTCACAATGCCCCAATCCGTGCACGGTTCCGCAGTGTCGGCATTATCATCGGCCGTAATTAAATCATCGCAACAGATGTCCCACCCGCTCTCCCAGGTCGGAGTCGACGACGCACTGCCACAAATCGCCGCCACAGTGGTCCTGTTCAGAAGCTTCAGGCTCGGCATCGGGCCCGACAATCGACGAAGTCGGCATCATGAAAATAGTTTCGTGCACATGTAGCCGTCACCACCGCCCACGAAATATTCACCATCTCCACAGCTGAATATCGGGACGCCCGAAGCGGCAAGTTAGCTGCCAGGTGGTCAACAGCTATGAGCAAGCGCTCTGCCACGCGGCACCTAACATGCGGATTACGCTCAAGCGAAGCGGTCACACTTTCGACGTTTTGTTTAGCGGCACGAAAAAGCGTGCTAGTTCTCCCGTCGGCCATCATGACCACACACGCACACAAAGAGCGAGCAAGACGCACACACGCGTGGAACAGCCCTGGGCACGTTTCCAGTCGGAAAACAAAACTAATTCGAGCCAGCGTGGCGGGCGTCGCAAAGCGGTGGAGACGAGCGAAGGGGTTGTGATCAAGAGAGGAGAGCAGACTTGCGAGAGAAGGGCAAAGAGTTGGGGAGGATGCGGCGGGAGGGCGACCTTGGAAACCAAAACACATGGGAAGGAGGCAGGTCGGGTAGCTTGCTTAAAAGGTCCGCGAAACTCGCACGTAGAAAAACTTGAAAAGAGTGCCAGCGCGCGCAGAAGTCAAAGCATGGCCGCCTCGTTCAGTGCGCGCGGCGGCGTTCGAAGAATCGGTGGCCGTGATCAAAAAATCGTTTTGTTGCGCCGGCGGTTGCGTGGCCTCACGAACTTCAATATTTCGCGATTCATTCCGTGCAAATTAACAGCCATTTTCGCGCTTCCGCACGCGTGCGGAAGGCATGCTGAGCCAAGTGCGAAGTGAGCGAGAATAAGTCCTGAACATGAAACAAATCGCAAATTATCAGAGTCGGTGGGGTAGCGTACGCGCGTGCACTAGACGCAGACTATCGGATACAGTCGGTGGCCGACGATTTTGGCAAATGGTCTGGTCACTCCACGCCGGTGACGCCAACGACAGTACCAGCGATCAAAAGCAGATACG